ACCGAACAATCGTTTCATATAAGTTTTCCCTCGTCCATTGCTTCGAAGCTTCCTAGCGACAAGACCAAATAAATTTAGCATAAGTTTGAACACAAAGACTGTTTCGGTCGTTTTTAGTCAAGAGTCATTGTATTGCTCGCTCTAATCAAGGGAGCGCACGTCGTGGCTTATTTTAAACAACAGATAATGATTTTAAACTTGCTTTTGAATTTCTCGCATGGGTTATGCTGTTTTGTCCCTTTAAGATACAAGTGCCACCGCACCTTTCTCCTGTTTTTTTCGGTTCTCAAGTCCTTTTCCAGTTGGCAGACAAAGGTGTTGAGATAGAAACGAAACTATAGTTTTAAAAGTGATTTTATGATATACAAAACAAATATGTGGAGGAATTTGTTTCGATTTAGGAAAAAGTACTTTTAAAAAGTATTTTTACAGCTTCCCAAACATCCCCTTAGTTAATTATTACCTCCGATCTTGATTTGTAGGTTACAAATAAGAACTTATAATCAGGTTTTCTAGTCATATTTATAAGATAAGGAGAGAATTTTTTTTTTAAATTCTTTTTGTAAGCCACAATATTAAATATTTGCATAAATATACTTTTTTATCATTTATTTCTTATTATTATACTGTTATTTTATTGAAAAATGTACATTTTAAATAGATGTGAAGTAGAAAATTTTTTAAATTTTAAGGCAAAGTTAATTAGGTCTAGGGTTTTTTTTTTTAAATTTTGGTGAAACTTATTGAAAGTGACCAATTGATTAAAGGTTGTGTTTGCCTTGGCTGTTTTTATCCTCTTATGTTTAGCCGCCATTACAATCATAAAATTATCGCTTATGCAAAGAAATGCCTCATTAGCCTTGGAGCCTAAAATCTCTTTTGTGAGTGGAAAGCTGTGGTTCAGTCCTATTTGTAACCTTAAACTCTCAGTGTTTATCTTCAATTCATATGCACACACATATATATAACTTAAAATATAAAGGAAAAAATAATTTTTGATCATTCAAATTTTAACTTAGTTAGGCTCAATTTCTCAATTATAACTCGATGTAATTAAGTTTCTGAATTTTTAACTCGATTAAAACTGAGTTCCTAATTTTTTTTCATACTTAATAAATTAACGCTTATCATACATAACTCACTCTTCCATTCTTCAGTTCCTTGGCAGAAATTGCTTTGTTCGACACCTTCGCAACCATGGGTCCTATTTTCACATCAGTGCCATCTCTCTTGAACTTGTCTTCAGCAAATGCAATAATTCTCTTGTCAAACGTGCAAAACAGAGGGTATCTAATTTAATAATCAATAATATCACATATTAATTGCTAGTTTAGAATATGGTATATTGATCACAAATGAGGCACAGAAAAAATATGAAAAAAATAGTTATGTATGAAAAGGATTAATTTATTAAATATGAAAAAAAATTAAAGACCGGGTTTAATCGAATTAAAAGTTTAGAGACTAAGTTATTTTGAGTTATAATTGAAAAACTGAATCATAACTGAGTTAAAAATGAAGGACCAAAAAAAATAATTTTCCTGATAAAATAAATATAATTAAATTTAGTATGAACACAGGCTGTAATCACAAAAAGTATATCATTGCGCGCTGTAATCGAGAGAAGGTACATCATTCCTTATTTTAAACTTGCCTTTGAGCACCTAACACACGTTACTCTGTTTTGTTACTTTTTGATTTTGTCCCCTTATGAGGCAAAGTTTCACCGCAACTTTCTCTTGTTTTTTCTTTGGTTCTCAGATCCTTTTTATATACACACACGCGTGTGTCTATAAATATATATATATATATATATATGTGCGCGCGCATATATTTTCACTCAAAAAAAAGTACTCCTCCGGTCCTAATTATAAGACTCAATTGATTTATTTGAGGAGATTAAGAAAGTAAGTTAAGTTGGTTATTTATAATAAATAAGTGTTGTCATTCCTAAAATATCCTTGCTAATTAAGTATGTTGGCTAAAACTATCATTATTAGAAGGATTATCTTGGAAAAAAATGCATAAATATAATAGACAAAATGGATTGGGGTCTTATAATTAGGACCAAATAAAAAGTCAAATGGAGTCTTATAATAAGGACCGGAGGAGTATATACGTATATATATGCGCGCGCATAGCTTGCCCTATTTGTTTTCTTCCTTTTTTTTTTTGGGCCAACTCTTCCTCTCATATTTAGCTACCAATCCCCGTTTCTTAATATAAGACCCATTTAACTAATTTGATTAGGTTAAAGAAATTAGGTAAGTTAGTTAATTATAAGAAAAGTAATACATTTTTTCTAAAATACTATAATTATCTTTCTTGATACCTTCTCTCCCTTTTCTACTTGATTATGGTTGAGGGAGTATCCATAGGGGTAATTTAGAGAAAATTGATAAATATGAGAAATGAGTCTTATATTTAAGACCAAAACTAACTCAAGAATTGAGTCCTATACTAAAGACCGGAGAAGTATTATATTACAATCATGTGACAGACTTGCATCTTGCTCCTTCGCATTACTCTGAAGCTTCATCACGACACACATAAAATAATTAAATTTAAAGAAATACGCAGAAAGTATGAATGAACACAGAGAAATATGGGGATTTTTTGGTTAAACTAAGGCATTGACTGTACTTTTCTCGAGTCCCTATTAGCATGTGAATTTTGCTTCCTCCTTATGTTTAATGTCTTACTTCCCATGACTTGTTTTATTCAGTTGTCCTCTATGGGAATCAACAGATCGCCATAAATTTTTGGCCAATAAAGTATCACTGATTATGCCAAAAACAGATTCTCCCCAGAGAATCTGAATAGTATTTAATTGATACCTAGAAGGAGCCAAATGATGCTTGACATTAGCTTTTTGTATTCCTTTTAAAAATCCAGACCGATGTATTTGGAGTTACTAATGACCCAACCAGACGCTCTCCCATAACCCTACAGTACCTTCTTAACTAAGCCAACCTCCTCCGATACCTCAAAGGATAGATATAATTTAATACATAGAAATCAATAACTTAATTATATATAATTTATTTCCAAATTAAAGTTCTCAATTATTTATTCTAACCTCATTAAAAATTTTTCCTCACCCCAAACAATTCATTTGAACTACAAGCTAACATCAAGTTTTATTTTATTCAATTGTATAAAAATTCTTAATTTATAATTTAAGCTTCAGACTTCAAAAATTTTCTGATTATATGTCCTCAACATTTTCAACATTATAAACTGATTAAAATCTCCATAATATATCAACAACCCAAATAAATTATTTAACTCAAGTTCAATCATGTAAATATTGTATATATATCTTAAATAACAAATTTTTCAAATAAAATTTCAATTTTAAACTCTAAAAATATCAAATAGACGAATCTAAAACATTTAAAATTGATTACTAATTTACTTTTAAAATCTTATGGTCATATATTGTCAAATTTAATATTTATTCCATACTCAAATCCCAAAAGTTTTCTCTAATCACCATAACATTATACCTATTAAGTAGATCTAGTTAAGTAGAATAAATTTTATAAAAAAAAAATTTGTAATTATAAGTAGTTCTACTTATCAAAATTGGAAAATGAGAAAAATGGCGGAGATCAGCGCGAGAGAAGCGTTTTCTCTCTCCTCACCTTAACGTATAATATAGCAAGGGGTATATTACACCAACAACCCCATGTAATACTTCAGAAAGTTAGGGTTTAAAACCCCTTTTTTTAATTTTTTTTTGTAATCCTTTTATTCCAACAAATCATGTTTTAGGTAAATCCTGGTTGATCTAGTACCCTTAAATATTTTTAGGAGAGTTGCTATATAATGTCTTAAGTAAATAATATAATTATTAAACAGTCTAAATAACAACATAATACCTTATAATGACAAGTTTTAAAGTAAGAAATAATAATTTCTTACTTGTCATTAGACTTTTTTCATACTTATTTTTCATATTTATTTTATGTATTCAATAGTCTAAAGTATTTTGCTATTCATCTAATATCTTGAAGCATTTTTTTAGTGTGTTCAACACTACAAAATATTCTGTAATTCATCTAGACCCCTTAAATATTTTTTTTTCAGGTATATCTAATACTTTAAAATATTTTATGGCACAATTTTGCCTTTAAAATATTAAGGTGCAAGGTACAAAGAGTTCAATAAACTATAAAATACTTTAAGATGCTAGATTGACCACAAAAATATTAAAATTCTGGAGCACTTGAAAAAAAAAACTTTATAATGTTGGATCAACCTTAAACATTAATATTCTCTTATTTGTTTAGTTATTATTAGTTACCAGAGAAATTGATTTTAATAAAATATAAATGAGTTTTCATAAACTTTTTCTCTTTTCAACAAATATTTAATTATGAGATCGACAATATGATAATACCCTAATAAATATTATGGCAACAACATCGTACATACATCAATTTATTTAATATTTAAATAATTAAACTATTGGTTATTGTACGATTATAATTGAAATAATGAAATTTGGAAATTTTCAAATTATTAGCGAAATCATTTCTCAAAACTAGCAACAGAAAATTCCAGGGCAAGCAATCTAATGAAAAAAATAGCGACTAAACAGTGATGAAAACCTTTTCTGTCACTAAGTTTATCACAAAACTGAAATTAGTTATTTTTTGAGTTCGTGACAGAACTAATGACAGAATAGTGATGAAATTGGTGTTAGAAATTTGTTTTTCCAAAAAAAAAAAGTTCCATCATTAACCTGACATTAATTTATATTGGCGACAAAATAGTTCTGCCACAAATTTTTATCACTAATTCTATCACTAATTTTACTAATTTTACCAACAAAATTTTCCACAAATTATTTTTTTGTAGTGTTTACAGATTTAAAACAAAATAGATCAATTATTTATTTGTAATAAATATATGTTGATTTTATAAAAGACCCCATTTAATCATTATCCCCATCAATAAGCATTCTCTTTAATATATACAATTAATAAGAATAGTTTAGAATCTGAAAATGTACTTAAATACAAGTTCCTCACACTGTAGATATGTAAGTTCCTTAGTGATTCAACAATCAATTATGTCTCGATTCAATTCAAGTATAATCCCTCTCCCCTTTTCTAATGCAGAAATTTCCCACAGGGATTTTGGGTTCACAACAAATATTTTTCGTTTACGGCCATGCTTTCCACTCTGAATCCCAACGAGATCAGGAAGCTATTCAATGTGCCTAAACGCTCACATGAACAAAGCTCATACTTACTGTTTATTTCTCATTATGAGTCTTAAAACAGTGGCAGACAGCATCTTGGAACAGCCCTCCAAGCATAGGCCTCAAAATGACGGATGATTTTCTTAATAAAAGTTACTCCAATGATCTGCAAACGAGGATATTAGCTGAAATACATTAAAGTAGGTGTCTTTCTACAGAGAACCTCGATCTCCATACAGCTCATTCCACTGCCTCAATTCATGCATAATTGCCCCGTGACCATCAAAACTTGCAGGAACCTGTGGTAAAATATAAGATTTAGATTCTTCTACATGTGTCCTATTGATAAATGAGTAAGCTTTCTCAAGGGCAATGAAGAAAGACCCTTCAACGAACTTATGATCTCTTGTAGCAAGATCAGATTTACCCAATAATTTTAGGTAGATTAGGCTATGTCCTGAAATATTAATAAGTAATTTCTCACAATGGTGCAAGAGAAAGCAAACAGAAAGTTCCAAAATCAACCGACTAAGGACATCTGTGTGTTAAATTTCAACTGCTAAGATCAAATGGTATTATTAATGAACACTGAATGCATAACCAGCCATTTATTGCGAGTATTTTCACATAATAGTAGAAATGAAAGCAAACAGAACTGAAAGAAAATAAAAAGTATAGGCCAAAATCAAGAAAAAATCAGTCATTAATGTAAATTGTGAGGGGTTTCAAGTTAACCCTACCTGATTCTTAGCCTGAATCATGTCTTCCATATTTATGGGCCTCAAGGTAATTACTGGCTCTTCTTTGTCCTCCTTATCACTTTCTGAGCTTTGGCCTTCAGCATCTTTCTTATTCTTGTCCTAAATTATGATAAAATTTATGCTCGTCAGCAAAAAGATAACAATAAAGTTGGAAAGGCACAGTGAAATGATGTTACAAGTCAAGGAAATTACTTGCTCTTTTGGGCCCTCTTTGGGACTGAAGCAGCTTGTGAGCTTTGGCCTTCGGCATCTTTCTTATTCTTACCCTGAGTTAAGATGAAATTTATGCTGGTCAGCTAAAAGATAACGATTAAGTTGAGAAGGCACAGTGAGATGTTTTGTTACAAAGCAAATGAAATTACTTGTTCTTCTGTATCCTCTTTGGGACTTGAAGCAGCTTCGGAGCTTTGGCCTTCAGCCTCTTTCTTATTCTTTTCCTTAAATGGGAAAACATTTATGCTAATGAGCTAAAAGATAATCATTAGAATGAGAGGGCACATTGACATGATGTAACAAGACAAAATTGTCATTCTAGTTAGTAACATTACCATATCCTTCAATTTCTCCTGCTTTATGAGCTCCCTAACAGGTCGATAAGCAGCAGCAGTGCACAAATTCTATTTAAAAGAAATTTAGTCTCAACAGCTGGTGGCCACGTGTTACAAGTAGGAAAATAGAATCACAATACAAAAAGGAAAGTCCAAAAAACACAAACCTTGAGGTCGCTTCCAGTATATCCCTCTGTCATGACTGCAATCTTTTTGAGGTCTAAGTTTTCAGTATTTTCCTTAGCTAGCAGAGTTTTCAAGATAATCTCCCTAGCCTCGACAGATGGCAGACCAACCATGACTCTGCTCAACATTGACAGTTACAAAGGTATCAATAATAAAATCATGACAATGTGTATTTAAAAATTGAATTATTCAACGATGTTACTCAGAGATCAAGCCGAAATAAAATTTCCCAGTGATGCTTTAGAGAGGTTTTGGATAGTTACTACTTACTAATGCAAAAATTGAAACTGGGACTTAATTATGCGTGCAAGAAACAAACAGGACAAGCACAAATTAAAGTTTTACCTGAAGAGCTGCGAAATTATAGAAAGCAACAGAAGTATATGTCCTCGACGGGTGTCACTAGTGTGCTATGTGTAATGTTTGATTATTTGAAGACTAAAAATCTACCTTCATGAAACCTAGTCTTTCCGTTTTGATAAAATGAAGTAGAAATGAACGATGATGTATGTACCTTCGCTCAAACCGTCTTATGATTGCATCATCGAGGTCAAATGGCCTATTGGTTGCACCAAGAACTAGAATACGCTCGTGTTGTTTTGTCAATAGACCATCCCAATGGGTCATGAATTCATTCTTAATGCTCCTCGTAGCCTCATGCTCTCCACATCTTGATCGTCGCCCGAGCAAGCTATCAACTTCATCAATGAAAATGATAGTTGGAGAAACCTTTGCAGCTAGAGAGAACAGAGCACGGACATGCTTCTCAGCTTCTCCATACCACATTGATGTGATGGTAGACATGGAGACATTGATGAAACTAGCTCCTGCTTCATTTGCAATTGCCTTTGCAAGCATTGTTTTTCCAGTACCTGGAGGTCCAAAAAGCAATATGCCTCGACAAGGCTTAAGAAGCCCACTTTTGAAGAGCTCTGGTCTTCGAAGTGGAAGCATGACTAGCTCTTGTAGTGATTCCTTAATTTCCTCTAATGCACCAATATCTGAGAATGTCACACCTATCTCATTCGCAGGGATAAGTTCCTCTCTTATGTGCCTCTCATGCTCATTGTCTGGACAAACTTCCTGCAAGCATAAAATTAAATCAAAATATGAAATAGCAGAATGAAGTAACCTCATAAAGCATTGGTTAAACGCTCCTTTTTCTTTTTGCATCATTACACTCTCAACCAGCAGAGTCCTATTGTACAAATTTAGAATATTAGTCTTTCATCATCCTTATTTGTAAGCATTTATGTTGATCCCTTTTGCTCTCACTCATGAGAGTGAATGTAAGCATACCTTCTTTCCATCAGGCCCTTGCTTCTTTCCACTAGTCCCTTGCTTCTTTCCATCATCATTACTTTTCTTTTTGCGAAATAGATCCAAAGCTTGGCACAAACTGTGAATTCCCAGAATTAGCCACTCCTCACTAGAACATGTTTTCCTTAAACAAATAAATAACTGGTCCAAATTCTTACCTCTCAGATGATATTACAAGCTTCCCGTTCTGGTATTCTGGATCCTTGGTATTCATGAAGTAGTGAGATATTGCAGATACAGCAATTTCTTCAATATATCTACTTAGTATCTTTGTGTCCTCATGGCTGATTGAATTCAAGTCTTTACATTCAACATCATTTGCTGCCAGAACTTCGGCAATATGGTTTCTGTTATCTTGAGATTTAATTGTTTTCTTGTTCTCTTCCAGTTGGGCTTTCCAATCTTCAAGATCAGCTTCATCTTCTGGTGGTTTGATCTTAATACTGTAAGGGAATAATGCTGCGAGCTGTTCATCAACTTTTGAACATTTATACCCTTTGTGAGGCGCAAGCATCCATGGTGGGAAATCTATTACAGTCAAATAAAACACAACCATCATATTTGCATAATATAACTTTAAAAGAGAACAAAGCTTATAAATTATCCCCCCCCCCCCCGAGGCACCTTCCCTTTAAACTTCTTTTTTAAAAAACAAAAAAATAATAATCAGAACACAGTTTTAAAACTAATGCATTTGACTCCTACATTAACTAGGTAAAAAACGAAAAAATGATAACATTTTTTTAATCTTCTCAAAATAGGACATCGGCCTTTACTATTATACTTTTAAACAAGTATATACTCTTTCACCAGCAAGTTTTGTATTTTGGTTCTTTAATCATATTATCAATTTATTAAAAACCAAAGCTTTATAATGAAATAGAATCAGTTTTATGGCAAATATTTTTTTTTTTTAATAGTTCCCTTTTCCTTATGTATCTAGTCTTGCATAATATTCAGATACAAATTTTGCCTCCCTCACCAGGTTTTTTGGCTTTGCCTGAGATCTTGGAACCAAGTATGAGCACTGGCCCTGGAAGTTCCCCTAGCATTTCATGAAACAAATTATAAAGTTGCTCTGATTGGAGAAAAATCTTGTCAGCTTCCCTGATGTACAAAATGATGGGGTTCTCTTCCGACACAGAAATCAAGACCTGGAAGAATTATATTCATCAGCTATTTAGCTAGAACTAATTATTGAGAAATTCTCTTCTTCCATGAGAATTGAGATGATGAAAATACCTTATAAAGCAACTGTATAAAGAGTTTTTCATCGACACACAAGCTGCTCTTCTGCTTCAAGGGAGCTGAGAATGAAGTTTCAAAGCAATAAGCAAAGAAAACACAATTTTATGTAAAATCAATGATACAACAGGGCATCAATTATTGTAAGTGGATTAAGAATGCAAAGAATGTGATAATTAAACAGCAGATGGATTTGCTAGTTAAAGCAATTAGCAGGAAAGAGGTAAGCAGTGTATACATGTGAGTTAAAAGTGGAGAATGATAAGTAAACCCAAAACTTGCAGACCTTAGTAGCGTATAGTTCTGGAGATTAGTGTAAATTTAATATGGTTATCTTACAATGTATATATATCTATAAAGAATACAGATAATACGCGTATGAACTAAAACAGGAGAATAGAAAGAATAAAAATGTTTTCAACCAGTACCAGAATTTGCTGGCGCAGATTGGGAAGCAGTAGTCTCGTGAAGCTTTGAAGCAATAATGGGACTTCCAGTAGCATTACTGTGATTTTGAAAAGTACCTGCATAAAAGTAGTCAATCAAGATACATTAATGTGATATGATACAATTGCGAGATCATGAGTTCACGACAATGATCACTGTAAGAGATAATTAACAATGAACTAGGATACAGCACCACTCATTGCCGAATCAATCACAGTTGAATCAATCATAGGCTCTCCATAAAATATAATTTAATGCTAAGGAATATGATAATTTGAGGGACAAAGGCCTGTTTCCTCCTTCGTTACCTTTTTTTTTGCCATTTGAAGGGAAGACTGCCGAAAAGGAACAAAGCAAACCAGACAATCTCTCGGAAGCCACCTCAGATAAGGATATTTTAGAAGACTACAAAAAGAGAAAAAGGGTTAGGGAAATCACCTGAAAAACCACTCACATGTCGGCGACTTCGTGAGTCATTTTTGAAATATGACTAGAAAGGAAAAATGGAGAAAATAATTGTATTTTCATGTAAAAAGAGAAGTATCTTCTGTTTTTAATGCAGAGCGTCCCCCCCCCCCCGGGGGAGAGTTATAGCAGAAAAGACTTACTGGTTCTTGTCTTGCAAATCCATATTTTTTCTGGATCTGTAAAAAGAGAAACAGATCAGATATGAATATTAGCTTATTCAATTCAAAACAAAAGACATAGCAATACTAAAACAATCACCTTGGAAGAAAAGTCAGCCAAATCTAGCAGCAGCAACTTTGATTCAAAGTGATGTGCTAAAGCCCTGGCAAGCGTTTGCAGGTAAAACTCTGCCCAGAAAACAGATTGAAAAATGAAAATGACGCTAACGTGAGTCAAACAAACATGAAAACCCAACACAATCTTTTGCAGGAACATAATCAAGAGAGTACGTAAGACATCTACATAACATACCTGCAGGCCCATGAAGCAGAATTGCCCTGCTTGCTGGTGAAAGGTTCCTGGTATGTTTGGAGAAGGAAGGTTGTTTTAAATGAACAGACGCAGCACTTTTCAATAGCTCTCGGGTTCTTTCACTGTCAATGCCATTGAATATGACTTACGTTATAAATATATATATATATATATATATATAAGAGTAATAATAAATCATATTCATATAGGATTTGAAATCTGAACCAGAAGTGCTGGTCAAAAAAAAAGAAATCTGAACCAGAAGGAACCTGGTGTTTACAAAGTCATGCTACTTAAGAATAGAAGTCTCAAGTCAATCACATCAAACTCCTTGAAAGTAGAACATAACACCATGTTCACCAGTATATTACAGCATCAGGAATCAATCAGAACCGCAAAAAAAAAAAAAAAAAAAAAAAAAAATCTTTTAAAAACTAAAAAAAAAGTGCAGCTGAACAGAACATTCCGAGATGAGGAAATGCTCAAACGCTAAATCACCTTAAGTAATAAGGAAAGTCTTGGAAAGTTTCCTTGCATTCTTTTCCATCAATCACCAGCCTCAAAAGTTCCTGCTCGATCTGTTCGCCATAAAGCTTATCAGCTGACTCGCGATTCCCTCCAACAAGGCCTGAGCTCAACCCAAGGCCTGCTCCGAGACCAACTCCAACACCCAATGCCGACAGCAAAACGTGCTTGTGTTCCATCTCTCTGAAAGAATTTGATCTTTGCCCCTTTTAAGCAAGCAAAATTCCACCCTTGTAGCTCTGATTTCCGGGAGGAAAAAAAAAAAAGGGCAGAGGCTAAATTTTGAGAGTTCACGTACCCAACATGGGTCTCACTCTTATATAAGCAAGCCTCGACTTGGGTTGCCCGCTCCAACTCCTCAAACGGAGAAACTTAACCAACAAGTTGTTTACAAACTGAGAGACGTGGGCACCAAGATGAGAAAACTGATCCTATGCTCCCTGCATTTCACATTCATTTTTAAGAATATATCTGTTATTTGAAAATCAGCCCCTGCTGTTTCATCTTCTCCAAATCGATCCATTCACGGAACCTTTTTTTTTTTTTTTTTCCAAAGCTCTGCTAATGTAATTGTTTAACGTGAAGATAATGGAAAATTGTGTCTTTTAATAGTTTTATTTAGCTCCCCCTCTCTCCGTCACTATTTCACGCATATTATACAAGACCAAAATTATGTTGCATTTTCCTTCTCACTCAAAAGTTCCTCCGATGGCCTAAAGGCTTGGGTCTGTCTCCCTAGTTATTACACTCCTCTTATTTTTAATATAAAACTTATTTAACTAATTAGATTAGATTAAGAAAGTTAGGTAAGTTAGTTAATTATAAAAAATATAACATGTTTTTACCTAAAACATCATAATCATCTTTCTTAATATCCTTCCTCCCTCACTTGATAAATATGAGAAATAGATTTTATATTTAAAACCAAAATTAACTTAATAATTAGGTTTAATATTAAGGACCGAAGGAATATATATATATATATATATATATATAGACACACACATATATATGGGAGACATGTCTTTCCACTTCCTTTCTCCTCTATTTCCGTCCACTTCTCATCTTAACCATAAAATTAAAATTTTAATGGTCCAAATTTCATATTTTATAAAATTATAAATAAAATGTTAAACTTTTTTAAAAATAAAGAAAAAAAATTAAACTACTAAATTTGAATCTGGATAATTCATAACAATAATAATAAAAATTTATAAAATTACTTTTTAAAATATAAAATCTGGACCGTTAAAATTTCAATCTTAATAGTCGAAATAGGAAGTGAATGTAGATAAAGGAAAAGGGAAGTGGAGAGAGCCTTTGCCCATATATATATATATATATATATATATATATAACTTGTATGTATTGTTCAATATTCACTTTAAGCAAAACAAAAGTGACAAAACTCTCCACAAAGAAGCCACTTGAAATTCCACAGAATGGGAAAAGTCTGTAAAATTAAATTTGATTTTAAAGAACAATTCTAAATCTTCATGCAGCCTGTCATTAGAGAACTAGAGCATTGGATTTGATGGTTCGCCTGGTAGAATTGTTGGTCAGTGAGTCTTTCAGTACGTTTTGATGAGTTAAGCTATTTGGATCTTAAACAGAGCTGGATCATTTTCAACAGATTTGGATATACTCTCTATCTATCTATATAATCTATGAACCTTGTGGCTCTGCTGTGATTGGTCCACGTGGAGATCCCATGTGGTGCTTTCTTTTGAGTTTTATTGGTCTTTGGTTAGTGATGTCATCGGGTTTGGTGGGTGCTCTATCCACATGGTTCCATCATTCTTGATGCATGCATTTGTTTTAATTGTTTTGTTTTCATTTATTGTTGGCCGTTTCGTTTCCTTTTGTTTTAATTCTCATATGGACAATTGTATGGGATATTATTAACAGTAAAAAAATATTGAGGGCTTAAAAGTATTGGTACTAGACACAGAAAAAAAGTCAACAAACCAAACAATAAATGTTGTCTATAATGAAGTTTTTTAAAATATCATTTTGACCTGATACACAAACACTAATAGTGAGTAGGTCTTAGTAGTTAGTTCTTCTAATAAAAAAAAATCCTGATTTATTTTAATAACCCATGCAACACATGAGATACGGCGTCTAGTTTTATCTTTAAAGAACGTGATTAGAAAGTAACAAAGTATTTTTAAACACACTTTTATTTATTATCTCTCTCATCTCTCTAGTAATTAATAGAGACATAAGTGGGAAAATATAATTAATTATCATTACAACTTTTTATATTTTAGATCATAATTTCTTTCCAGACTTCCTATGTTGCACTACAGTGGCAGATGTATGTTAGGCTCTTTCAACTATTCGTTTCAATCATGTATATTGGATGATTAGAATTATCCTTTAGTGGGAATTCTTTACAATTAATTATGATATTTTGAAAAAAAAATGGGAGACAAAGTGAATTGATATTTTATATTTAGGATTAAATCTATATCACTAGTTCTTATATAAAGGATTAGTGGTAGTAAATCAGAGGGAGTAAGCCTATTTTTGTTGAACCTTATTTTTTAATTAATATTATGTCATTAATCATTCATCTAATTTTTTAAAGCAAACATTCCAAAAAAAAATGCCTCTAAAATTTTAAAATCTCAAATTAGAAATTACCATAAAAAGTTGTTGTTATTTGTTTTTCAAATGTAGTTAATTATTATCAAAGTAGAGTACGCAAAACTGATTTAAAATTTTGAAATTTAAAAAAAATTTAGGATTTTTTTCCTTAAATATTGTATGCAACAGTGTATCTTATTGAGAACGGTCACCATATGGGTCGCTCACTATCACGGGGGTCCTCCGCTGCCGACTTGGACTTGTTCTGGGAAAACCTTATGAGCGATAATCATTACTCATTGGCGCCATGTTGACAAAGAGGCCAATATGGCAACCTCGCCATTGTATTGGAACCAATTATGATAACAACTATTTGATTAATTTGAGTATTTATAAAAATTAGTTAAATTAGTTACTTATAATAAATAGATATTGTTTTTTTTAAAATATCTTTACTAATTATGTGTGTTAGTTAAAACTATTATTTGATAAAACATGTAACATGTGCAATTATTATAAAACCTACTTTAAAAAAAATAAATATAAAAGATAAAGTCCATTAGGATCTTAAATTTATGATCAAATTAAACGTTAAACTAGTTCATATATCAAGGACCAGAGGTAATATTATTCATTTTCATAGTATCAAATAATTGAATTGTGCAGTTTAAGAAAACTATTAAAATTAGTTTAAAATAAAAAACACGTAAAAAATATATATTTTAAATATGCTCTTATTTATAAATGGGTAGGTGAGAGTAAAAAAAAGAAAAATAATATATGAAAAAAAGATAATAAGAGAGAATATATTAATTGTGAGTAAGATGAGAAGAGAAAAAAAGACAAACCAATTTAAAAATTTGGCTATAAGACAGAGGGATGTATTATAATTGTTACTGCATCTTTAAGTTTTATAAGAGAAGTTTCATTCCAATTTGAAATCTTCTTCCGTGTGGGCTTTGGATGTTTTTTTGGGATGTATATGCATATATGTAAATGTATGCATATCTCAAATAGCCAACTCCTATTTTTCACATAAAAGCACGATCACGTGTTCATGTCTCCCCTCTCCACATTTTTTTTAAGGGTCATTTAAACCGAAAATTTATAGGCGCTTAAAAATAAATTTTTGAGAAATGACAGTCGGGCCACAAAAAATTAATTTAAAATAATTAAATTCTTGAATTCTTTTACATGAATAGTGCATATTAATATAAATTTAAAAAATTTCGATCATAAATCAAGCATTTAAATTTAAAATATAATTCTTAATTTGCAAATAAAATTTCCACTTACAGCTATTTGGAGAAGTATTTTTTTTATCGCAGAGTTTTTGGAAAGAAACCGAACAATCGTTTCATGTAAGTTTTCCCTTGTACATTGCTTCGAACTTCGAAGTTTCCTAGCCACAAGATCAACGAAATTAAATATAAATAAATTTAGCATAAGTTTGAACGCAGGCTGTTTTGGTCGTTTTAGGGCCCGTTTGGCATCACGTTTGGGGCCCCAAACGTGCGTCTCCATCGGGCTTCTGATGTGGCTGCGTTTTTGACCTGTTTGGATTCACAGTAGGCTAATCTGACTTCTGAGGCTCAGATGGACTTATGGGAGAAGTTGATTTGTGGTGCTTTTTTTTGGAGGCTGGTGCGTTTGAGAAAACCGGTAGTGTTAAATATTTTTACCTACCTGACCCTCTGCATGATTTTTGTCTGAGTTATTAGCTAAAAGAAAAAAACCACACACTCACTCGCACTCTCATTTTGAAACGCGATCTGAAGCTGAAAAAGGGAGCCTTGCTCGCAACGTCGTCTTCTGCCATATCCCCGTCGTGCGCCCGCCGTCTCCCGCCATGTCTCTGCCGTCTCATCAATTCCGGTTCTTGTGTGGGAGTGGGTGGAGTGTGGTCGTTCGGTCAGTTCGTTCAGTTGTTCTTCCTCTTCCTCTGCTCGGTTGAAGCCAGCGTCGCCGCCCATTGTCACCGCCGTCTCCCGCCATGTCTCCGCCGTGTTACACCATCTCATCAGTTCCAGTTCTTGTGTGGGAGTGGGTGGACTGTGGCCGTTCGTTCAGATCCTCCAAATATCGTTCGGTTGCAATCTAGGGTCGCCGTCCGTTGTCACCGCCGTCTCTCGCCGTGTTCCACTGTCTCATCTGTTATGGTTCTTTTGTGGGAGTGGGTGGACTGTGGCCGTTCGTTCAAATCCTCCAAATACTGCTGGGTTGTTCGTTTCTTCCTCTGTTAGGTTGTAGGTAGTCCGTCCGTTTTCACCGCCGCCAACCACGTCTGCTCCTAATCCACAAGTCTTGTTTGTTCAGCTGGTAAGAGATACGTGTTTTTGGTCCTAGATCTGCTGGTCTTCGATTCATGTTGTTGGCTGCCATTGGTAGATAATTCGGACCCATAGCCTTATTGATTTTAGAAGTGTTGATATGATGTTCTTGCTCTTGATCTGATGCTCTTTCAATTAATGTGGCCTGGCCGTCGAATGGTAGTAGTGTAGTAGGAAGAACTGACTTGGTAGTATGACCTGGTAGTATCGTAGGAGGAAGAACTGCTGGTCATCGATTCTTCTAATGATGATTTGTGGTTCTAAGTACCCCTTTCCTGTTAATTATTTGTGACAAGCTCCGAAAAGTTAGCATTTTTTTA